GGATTCCCATGATGCATTGAGTTTTTCCTTTCCAGTCACCTTTCTCACTCAACGTATTAACAGACCTCTCTGCTGAATCACACTTGTTATTAATCTCTGTCTCTCTTCCACAGCATGTCTTTATCCTGTTTTCCTTCTCCCACCCAGCAGATGGCCCCGCCCCTCCCTGAGCCTGGTTTTGCCGGAGGTTTCTTCCTGTTAAAAGGGAATTTTTTCCTCCCATTGTCGCCAAAGTGCTTGCTCATAGTAGGCACCTATGATTGTTGGGGTTTTCTCTGTATGTATTATTGTAGGGTCTACCTTGCAATATAAAGCGACTGTTGTTGTGATTTGGCGCTGAATTGAATATACACTACTGAAGTGTCAAACTGCTGCAGTTCTCTAACTCTGATATTATCTTTGTAAATGCATGCAGTAGAATTGAAAATTCACCAGAGAATAGGTGAGGGAGAGAGATGGCATCATAGTTAGGGAGTGCATGGACATCTATCCCACAGGAAGTAATGTGAAAAGAGAGAGTAGATGTGTCCAGGGAGGAGAGAGCGGTGAGCAACAAGTAAGGAGTGATAAGCATGGTTAGACAGAAGACTTCATATATTTTTAAAGTCAGTTTGATCCCATTTGCTTAGTTATAGTTGAATAATGGTCAAAAACTTAGAGCTTTAGAAGCAGATAACTCAAAAGTGCCTGACTGATGTGCTCCACTACTAAAACAAATAGCACTGCACCTCTGCACATGCCTGACCTGACTAAATTAGCTGACTGCTTTCAAAACCCACTACCACAGCTTATACTGCTCATTAAAGAGGGTCTAAATGGACAACAATCAGATATCAAAGCAAGATCCCCTTTGGTTGTGAACCAAATATTGCACATTTTGGCACCTGACCATGACCATTTGCCCATGTACACAGTGACAACACAGTGATGTTTGCTGGGCAGCTGCTGACCTGTTATTCCTGACTTACTACCTGGGAAGCTTCTCCAACTCACTTGGATGTTGAGACTACGCAGCACAGCGTTGATGCTGAGCAGGTTTCTGATGGTGTTGTCTATGTGACTGTGCATTGCTGTGTTGGTGACCGACGTCTGTAGCGTGTTGAGGGACTGTTGTAACAACCATAAGCCAGTCTGCACTTCCTGGGCTTGCTCCAGTGCCTTGCAAAAAAAATAAACAGAGGGCAGGATTTACAGACCGTCCCTATACTAGAACAAACGAAGACAGTAATAATGATCAGATTAGAAATGAACAGGTACT